AAAGACCTGAAGACCCCCAACTGTCCAGCACAGTATTCAAAACCAAAATTATTGTGTATATGCTAAGATATGACAATTTATACAACAGTTCTGTCTGGTTCTCGAATCTGGCTGATAGCCATGCGGTATGCAATAACAGCACTCGTACAGCCTCCTCACCCTTCTGTATTACTCCGCCCACATAGAGTGACAGCAGATCAAAAAACTCACTACAGTTTGACAAATATTGCAGCTGTTTGACAACATAATGTACTTCTGAGGCTTTTTTATGCGAGAATGCAGTTTAGATTGCAACTGTGCAGTTTATTTATAAGGGTAGTGTCTATTTTAAATATTTATAATTTCTGAGATACAGTGCATCGGCATCCATTAGCCATGTCATTAAGCAGAGCAAAGACGATTGACGTTGTCCATCCACAAAACGGCGACAGAGACCACATAATAAGCCCTTAGAGGAGAAAAGATTGGCGTATTTTCTAACCACAGCTGATCAAATCATTATGTAACTGGTAAGTGACTTTCTTAGTCGATCTCTCTCTTTTTTATGTTGCAGTGCTGTATTTATACCACAGTAATTGTAGTGTGTTGAGTGTAAGATGGGACTCGCATATCAGGAATGTTTGTATTTTGTGTTGACCACTCTGTATAAAGCTGAGTTACATTTTGGTACTTATAAGCACCATTATGCCATTGAACTGTTGTATAAACGCAACACACTCGTAGCAGAGCAATATGACGCATTTCTACTCATGTGATATTGCTCATATGTCTTCTGTAATTATGAGCTGCTTGATTTCAGACTTTTTTCAGTCGCTGTATTGATCTATTCAATTAAAAATATAAGCACAATTTTTGGTTTATTATGTTGTTATTAAATAATAAAATTATGCTGAACACAGAGGAATATAATTTAAAGAGTACTGGTGGCTGACACGCATCCACTTTCATAATGGGAAAAAAATGACGTTGGAAGTCAATGAGTGCCATAAACCAGAATTTTTAAAAGTATAATTTATGTTCAACAGAAGAAAGGAACTCCGATAATTGAAGGGTGAGTAAATATTGACTGTAATAATCATAGTATGTACTAGACCAGTGGTTCTCAAAATTTTTTCACCAAGTACCACCTCAGAAAAATTTTTTCCCTCCAAGTACCACCATAATGACCAGTATTGAAATACAGTAGCGTAGTAGGCCCAGTAAGGCAGCTACAACTCTGCAGTTTAAAATCGTGACAGATTAACTACTATTATTAAGAATTTTTATTATTATCAGCCACTTTAAACATTATAAATAGTTTGAACATTAACACTGTACTGTGCTTATATGTAAAAAAATAAATAAATAAAAACCTGGAAATGTTGCTTGGACCTCATAAATATAGGATATATGTCATCATATTCATATATGAACCATTTTTGATCAATTTTGAAATATATGTTGCATGTACATATGACATTGATATTGGATTACTCTGCGTACCACTAGAAGGAAGCCTTCGTACCACTAGTGGTACACGTACCACAGTTTGAGAACCAGTGTACTAGACTAATCATTTTCAGTTTTGGGTGAACTATGACATTTATTTGCTCAGTCTAAGATGAAGTAAACATTGTTAGCAGACTATTCATCAAGATTGTTTTTGGTAAAATCATGGTCCTTGGTGATTCATTATTAAACCTTAAAGATTTTACTGATTCACAGCAAGTCAACATGTTTTCTGTTTAACTATCCAGTTAATTATCACCATTCCTAGTTGCAACAATTGTATTAAAAGTTGTAAACGGCGTTAGCTCATGCTTGAGTTTGCGTCCACACATATGTCATTGTTGAACAGGAAGCTCTGTTGTAAACCCACTTAGGATCACTTGTCTAGATTAAGCATAATAACGTAATAAATGGTGTTCAGTTTCTAGCACTGGCCAATCGTATCTCTTTGGTTTCAGTCGCTGACTGGCATTATATGAATCACTAAAGACAGCGATTTCCATTAAAATCTTCTTTAGTGTTTTTCAGAAGGAAAGAAGCCACCTACATCTTGACCTGAGGCAGAGTAAATTAACAGCAGATGTGCATTTTAGGGTGAATTATCAGAATCTTTTTGACCTTGCGGACATCAGCACGACTTCTGAAGGCCAGAGCAAAGGGCACTGCTCTCATGGCTCCTCCATTGCCGAAAGATCCACGGCCACCAAACTGAGCCTGTGCAGGCTGGAAGACATCCTTCAGATGGGGCGACGCAAGCTTCCTCAGAACCTGAACGACACCCGAGCCGTAACCTCGCCCTGGAGAGTGACTATACTCCTTTGCAAATCTGAAATCAAACAATGTGATCAGTGAAAATGGAACACTAGTTCATGAGGACTCCGTTTCCATAAGCAATGTACCTTTGAGCCATGTCTCGCTCATCGAATGTCATCCTGGTGAGGAGCGAATCTGCAACGCATCGCATCATGGCGGTGTCATCGCTGTACTGAAGAATTCCTGAAAATGTGTAAATTTAGATCAAAATGAGCTAAGATTGTACGATTGTGACCATCTCGGAAAGCGTGTTTTCATTCTAGGATTGACAGATGCTCAAAAAGTTCTAAAGAATGCGGCCAGTTTCTGTAAACAGAAATATTCTCCGTCACACCTGTGGACTTTCCTGCCAAAAAATGACCAACCATATGAAACTAAAGAGAAACACACAGCAATCAGGTGCAGTTGAAGACATAAGCAAATTATTGTTATTGTAGATGACACCAATATTCCTTTCATGCATATAATTGATATTTACAATATTTACCATATTTATGGGATTCATTTTGACATTTTTCAAACACTTGTGTTTCATTATATAACAAATAAAAGGCGCATGATATACAGTATAATTCAGTCGCTCCAGCATTTTGTAAGTTTTTTTTTATAGTTTGAGATCAATAAATAATTATTATTTTGACAACAAAACAGAATAATTAAAGCAAATAATACTATAGTGTCCCTGCAATATCCTGGAGAGACTGATAAATGTGCCATGATTAGCATAATACCAAGCCAAAGTATCAAAATATGCAGTGATTTACCTATTTCATTTAAATATAAATACAATTAAGACCAAGTAAAGAAAATGTAGTCAATCATTTGAAAGAAACACAATACATCACTTTACAAAGAAACTTAACCTATTAAATTACATCAATGTCAAATTTTTAAAAATATAACGTGTTAAGTTTTGATGTGGCGACGCAGTGGCGCAGTAGGTAGTGCTGTCGCCTCACAGCAAGAAGTTTGCTGGTTCGAACCTCTGCTCAGTTGGTGTATCTGTGTGGAGTTTGCATGTTCTCCCTGCCTTCGCAAGGGTTTCCTCCGGGTGCTCCGGTTTCCCCCACAGTCCAAAGACATGCGGTGAATTGGGTTGGCCAAATTGTCCGTAGTGTATGAGTGTGTGTGTGGATGTTTCCCAGAGATGGGTTGCGGCTGGAAGGGCATCCGCTGAGTAAAAACTTGCTGGATAAGTTGGTGGTTCATTCCGCTATGGTGACCCCGGATTAATGAAGGGACTAAGCCGACAAGAAAATAAATAAATGAATGAAGTTTTGATGTTTTTTAAAAATTGTCATTTTTAAAAACCACGTTTAAGTGGTCAGCATTGACAGCATGTCTTTGTATAGACCATTTTTGAGGGATGTAAACAATAACAACTGACCTATTTCCTGTTTTAGATTTTAAATTTCTATAGCTTATGAATGTCCAAAAAGTTCCACATATTGATAAATAATGTTACAATAGCTGTTGTTCGCCTCTTGTTACAGATATGAAATAGTTTGACAACAAGCAGGACATGTTCATGGGCCAATGACTTTACCACACTGAGGTAGTCTATAACAATGTCAAGTGTATTGTCCCTGTTAAATAAACTAATACTTTCATATGGTCTCTAAATGAAAATGTATGCACATGTATATAGTTTTGTTAAATTCCACAGAACATTTACAATTGTATTTCTTCACCTTTTCCATCTCAACTGTATTCTTATTCAAGTATACGCTGAGATTAGTACTAGAAATCAAAACTGCGAGGGAAGCCATTATTTATTTATTTGGAAGTACATGCAGTTATATATGAACTTGCTGTAGCATCGCCTGATTTGACCGCAAAGTACCACAGGTGTGACCCCTAAAGTCGGAATAGACCACGGGTTAATAAAGTCTTGGCCTTCAGACACTGACAGTCAGAGATTGATCATCAAGCGTCAGGTAACGTTTATTAAGCTCGCTGTACGTCAGATAGGAGACTGCTTGGCTCACCGTCGCCCCGTGTGTCGTCCTCCAGAGCGCTGAGATGCTGCAGGACTCGATCCAGAGGCACATCCACAGCGCCTTCAAACTCTCCGCCGATACAGTCGCCGAGTACCGAGCCGACCAGCGCGCCGCGGAACCGCGACAGCATCATCACCGGCGCTACGACACGCGCCGCCGCTGACATCACTACAACCGGACTCGAATATAAACACAAGCTGCACTACAATAAAGCGCTTCAGACGAGACACCGCGAATCTACTGAAAATAACAGTAATACAGTGACAACTGCGGTTTGTTGTGCTTGAGGAGGACTGCTGTCATTGTGTGACCCGCGACTTAACGTTACCGCACAACCTCAAATAGAACCGCATCACGATTGATCTGGTTTTCTAGAACGCTGTCACTTACCAATAAAACTGCTATAATGAACCTTACAGAAGCGATTGTTTTTTTTAGTATCGTAATTTATGTAATCGTGTCATATTTAATTACAGAATAGCGAAGCGAAGCTTTGCAAACAGCAATGGCGCGGTTATTAAATATTTTACGTTTCCATGCCTGCTGATTCGACAAATGTAAAATTTTGATATTTTTTAAATCATATATATTAATGGCCGACTATAGTTATATAAACCGTTTTGTGGTCTAGTTGTAACTGATTGATTCTACAAATAAAGGTGCAGAGTGTTTATTGCCTTGGGAGGTATTCGTGAATCTGCGGATCTAAAGCAGGAAGTAGGAAGTTGCATTTCGCTTAGGCGGTAGATTGAAAACAACGCAGCAGACCACTTCTTTGGCAAAATAAAGCAGGTCGGGAGAAATCGCATTGAGGAACTACAGGTAACGTAACACTGGGCGCCTTGAAAATCGCAAGTGACGAGGAAACATGGCATTTGTTGCCCCGATAGCGGTGTAACGTAACAGTTAAAAAATAACCAATAGCAGCAAGATATCAAGAGTCACAACAAGAGGGTCTTGATTCTCTCTTCAGTTAAAGGAAACAATGGGTCTTAAATCAGTCTTAAATTCCCAGTCATTTTAATGATACTGTATACAGTGCAGAAATTAACGTATTCCTCTATTTGTGTTTTGAAATATATCTAAAAAATAATGTAACATTAGTCAAGATATCTGCAGATGCAGATTGGATGTCTTTCGTTAGTTAGTTAATGCTTAACACGTGACACTTCTGTCAATTGAGTTTGTTTAATTACTTATGATTTCTTTTAATTACATTTTCTTATTCAATTGCATGTTGTTTTGTTAAATCTTTGAACATTTGGACCGGAAAACAACAAAACTTAAGGATTTATATATATTTTTTAACATTGTGATGAAATGGTACTGTAACTTATTTCCACATGGTAGTTTCTGAGTCATTTATACCTTCACTTTATTCTATATTTTATGATTTTGTGTTAAAGAGTCAAAAACTAATGGAGAAGTTGTATCTTTAAACAAAAGTAAAGTGTCTCTTTTATAAATTGGTGGTTGTGACTTTGGCCAGACAGAATCGTCAGACATTTTTAGCCATTTCTGCACAAAACTTTGTAAAAACAAATCTGCACATTTATGCAAAATAATTTTGGGAGTATCACAACTAAAAATGTAATATAATAAATAAAAAAAATATATCTTTTTAACTTTCATTTAATGTATTCAATGCAAATCCAATTAGATCCACTTAATTGGCAAACAAAGCAAGTCTCACATATAATAAATCTACTAAAAGACAGAAAATATTACTTTACAAACTGTATTGTATGTAAATCATATGAACATTTTCATATTAGTCAATAATATCACTGAAATTAATATAAAAACTGAATAAACATAAATGTACACACATTTACAAAAGTAAACAAATAGACTTGATAAATGGTGAGTTGAATGGAGTTCTGCGTGCGCATATTCCATGTGGGCCTAGTTGTGGAAAAAATTAATTTAAAAAGGCGTAACATTTTACACTAAAAACTGCAAAAGTAGTTATAATAGAACAAATTACACTAACAGTAACAATTTAGGTAATGCGTTTAAAAGCTTTTTGCAATATTTGGAGAGCACATAAAAAGAAAATTGAAGGGTTGTCAATTTGACTCTTTTATATTGTTTTGTATTATTTTGTATTTGTTATCATTTTCGTTTTGCTATTATTTTTATTATAATTTGTTTAAATAAAATTATTGAATGTTGATTTTGTATTGTGAATTTTATGTTGTGTTGGTATAAAAATTCAAAATAAAATAAAGTTCTATTACAAAAAAAAGGTAATGCGTTTAAACAGCTGGGTGGCACGGTGGCTCAGTGGTTAGCACTGTCGCCTCACAGCAAGAAGGTCACTAGTTCGAGTCCCGGCTGGGCCAGTTGGCATTTCTGAGTGGAGTTTGCATGTTCTCTTGCGATATAGGTGAATTGGATGAACTGAAAAATTGGCCTTAGTGTATGAGTGTGTGAATAAATGAGTGTGTATTGGTGTTTCCCAGTACTGGGTTGCGGCTGGAATGGCATCCGCTGCATAAAACATTAGCTGGAATAGTTGGCAGTTCATTTTGCTGTGGCGACCCCTGATAAGTATGGGACTAAGCTGAAGGAAAATGAATTTTAAACAGCTATTGAGGTCTCAATCTGATTTAGTTTGGGTATACACCAAAGTTTCCACTGGATGTGATTAGTTTCACGATTAGTCTTAGAGTGAAAACACAAGATGAGTTTTTTTTTCTAATAGAGTCAAAAACTAATAAAGATCCATGTTAAGTTGTATATTTAAACAAATGTAAAGTGCATGTCTATTATAAATTAGTGGTTGTAACTAGGGCCAAACAGAATCAGCAGACATTTTTTGCTTCTGCTGTGCAGAATTTTGTAAAGAAGTTTGTGGATTTATAAAGAATGACAAGATGAGTTATTTTTTCTAAATGCATCTGTCAAAACCTTAATCAGTTTTTGAATTTTTTGCCCTCATGAAAAAAACTGTATAAAACAAAAGGATGATATCTTTTTGATTAAAAACAAAGAAATCAAATCAGAAAACAGCTGAAAAAGCAAATTAATTCACTGGTCTTCATTGTTTGTATTATTGCCATCAGGTCTGGAAAAAACCCTTGTTATGAATTCCTGGGACCCCATTACTTACACAGTGACACCTGCTGCTAAGATTTTAGCCAGATGTGTAGCAGCAGGCACCATGACACAGGTAAACTACACTAGAACATGATTTGTGACACAACGGTTCAGTTGGTTTATTTCATGCATTTGTGTTATTGATGTTTTAGCAGGAGCTTGATGCTGTGCCACAGGATTCAGAAATCTTCTCCTCATCTTTACTTGAAGCTGAGCAGCTGAACAGAATCAGACAAGATCTTGATCAGGTTAAAAGTCATTTCAGCACTTAATGGAATAGTCTATCCACATTTGAAAATGATGTCATCAACATCCTGCACTTGTTTCAAACCCGTTTGAGTTTCTTTCTTCTGCTGAACACAAAAGAAGATATTTTGAAGAATGTTGGAAACTAGTAGCCGTTTACATCCATAGTAATTTTTTTCCTACTATGGATGTCAAAATGTTTCCAGGATTTTTCAAAATAACATATTTTATGTTCACCTGATTAGAGTTTTTTTAAAAGATTTTTATTTTTTTTTTTTAATTCTGAAAATTTATTTTTGATTTGCAAACCCTCAAAGATCAATTCAGTTCATTCAATTCAAGCTTATTACAACAAGAAGGTTATTGTATTATATGTTATTACATTAGTCAAAAATCCTAATGTTAGGGTGTTGTGTATAGGATGGACCATATGTAGTGTCCTTTTCCAAAAGATGATATCTATGTGTATCATATATATTATATATAGTTTATTTTATATATAATTTTTGTGAAGTTTCATCCAAGATGTAGGTTACACTTTTTCTGCATTACATTAATTGTTTTTAATGGCTGCCAGTACTTTAAGAGTCAAATATAAAAGCATACACAAGCAAAGCAAAAGTACTACACATGGTTTCTGATTATAATTTGAGGCCTTCAGAATCAAAATCATTAGTCTGTGCAAAAATAAGTCTATTATAACTGTGCCTCCTCATTTGTGAGTGGTCCCTGTGTCATTATGCAACAGGACACTTACAACGCTCAATACTACGTCAACATTTTCAGGCTATGGAATTAAGGTTGATGTTGTTATTAATGTTCAGTTTCTTGTGCGATTGGTTGTTTGGCTTCGTAAGACCTCTACGTTTCATTAGGAGTCGCAGGTATTATATTTATTTTGTATGTATTTACTTCTTTGGCTTTTAAAATGCCAGCTGGTAACATCCAAAGTTTCACCAAAGAACTTTCTTTAATATTCAACTAATTCATCTCATTCATCTTGTATAACTTTACCCAAGCAAATTAACAGCAAATAATGCTACATTTTTTGACAACTGACATCTTGTTGTTCATGTTGTTTTAGGCTAATTTAGATTTAGAGCTGTTGAATCTGGAAAGAGACTGTGCAGACGTGGCTCACAATCATTATCTCAGTAAGTGTTGCATGTTAACATTTCATTGTAAATGTCCACGCATACTTTACCAATTGTACTAATGAGTGTGTCTTGTTTTGAGGTCAAAGGTTTGCTTCCTTGCAACAGTTCACTTCTCACCTTCAGGAGGTGCTGCGAGAACAGACAGTCCTGCGAGAGAGACTCACAAAGCCTCTGTGTCAGCAGAACCTGCCCATTCAGGCTGATCTGCACAGGTCACTGCCCCGGACAGTTTATAACCACACTTTTTTGTATGATCATGTTTGGTAACGGTATTGATTTTTGATTATTTCACCATATCTTTATGTACAGGTATGTGGTAGAGCTCATGCGGATGGTGGTGGAGTTCGTTCAGAACTTAGATGTGAAAATTGAGATGGTTCGAGCAATTCCGACTACTGACCATCATTTAACTAATCTGGTAAGTGTAGTAGTCTTTTGGCTCTGTGTGTGTGTGTGTGTGTGTGTGTGTGTGTGTGTGTGTGTGTGTGTGTGTACTGTATAGCTCTGGAAAAATATATTGGTTAATATTTGTTTTCTATAAATGTCTGATAACATTTCTTCCACAAATCGAATAAAAATAGTTATTTAAATCTCTTTATTTCTCTCAGAAATTGACAATTATTGAAATTGAACAGTTGAAAATCAGGCTTATTACGCCAAATATAAATTTCTAAAGTTAAATGTTGGTATTGTGGTATCTAAAAATGAAGAGTATATTTAATATTTATAAAATAAAAACTCTGACCACACTTTCAAACTGTTTGCTGTCATGATCAAATTTCACTTTCTTTTCATTTAAAGACTTTTGTATATTAAGCTTTCTAGTTATTATTTACATATAATTTATCCACAACCTGTCATATGTAAAATGTAGATCCTATAATATTCATATATTTGTTTTTTACTCCATCAGAGCAAAGCCAGAACTCAACTGCTGGCTCATGTCACTGAGGTCGAGAACCTGTACAAGCAAGTCCTTAAGCGAAGAGGACAACCACAGACCAATATTAAGGACATGTCTAGCTGAATAATATATTTAAAAATAAAATGAACACATCGGTTATTAGGTATAGTATCCATTTACTGAATCTTGTTTGTGTATACATCTAACATGCTTTCATAGTTTCTAAAAGAACTGGTTGGGTTTATATTTCATATACTTCAGCAATATGTAAATATACATGTTTACTATTTTCTTTTGTGTATCTATATTAAATAAGTGCAATTAAATGGTCCATATTTTAAGCCAAAATTTGAGGGTTTTGTTTGCCATGAGTGTAAAATAAGTCGTGAATATCTGATTGGTTGGATATCTGATCCTACTAAGAATTTCATTCTGGACATTATTAGCCATCTAGCCTGAACATCAGTGACTGCGGTGGTAACCATACACTGTAAAAGATATGGACCTAGTGTCCGTGACGTCACCCATAGGTTTCTAAAGAACCCAAAAGAAGCTACCAGTAGGCGTGGCCAACCATCACCATTTTGTTTGCGCGTCATCGCAGCGCCCTGGGAACACCAAACAAGGGCAAAGAGGCGGAGCTACAGATACCTGCTAGCATTTGGTTAATACTTTATTACCTGCGACTCACTTGTGTTCTGACCACATGTGCTTGGTTTTCTACTATAGCAATAAAGAGTTTAGTCTTTTAAAAACACTGTCGTAATACATTGAGCCACCAAACATTGTTCTTAGGATGTTTTTCTACAGGAGCAATGCGCAAATTACTTCCAAACACTTCAAATACAGTCTGTGTTGGTAAATGCAAAGCTATTTATAAGATCCAGCCATGACACTGAATGACAGCGATTCAGATATTGTTCTATAGCTAGGCCCACACGGAATCTGCAGAATTCCGCAGATTTTCCGCAGTTTTCTGCAGATTTTTAGCCCATTATTAATTCTGTTTATTCACTTGAGTAAATGTGTACATCTGAATTTATTCAGTTTTTATTCAGTAATTTGCTACTTTTTTATTTAATATATTAAGGTTTTAGTTATGATACTCTGCTGGATACTCCCAAAATAATTCAGCAGAAATCCACAGATTTTTACCAAATTTTCCGCAGAAATAGTAAAAACGTCCGCAGATTCCGTCTGGACCTGTCTATAGCCCACAGTTCATCAATTTGTCAGATTCTGGAGTGCTTTACAGGTCTAAAGAATAAGAATATGATCTTAAATAAAACATACATTTATAGAGATGGTATAAGTATATAATTTCACTCACTCTGGAAATGGAGGCCACGTGAATGGTTTGTGAGCACAATTAAGTGCATACAGCATCCCATATCATCTGATATTTGTAATAAATAATTCCAAAAAGCAATTGACTGTGTAAAACCAAATAAAACAAAACAAAAATAGGATGTATATGCAGAGTTCAGCAGCTAATCAGCTAAGGTGAAGTGACAGCGACCAGCGAGACCTAGCTGTCACTCAAGTGGCCACGCCCTTAATTATGGAAACTTAATATAACCTAATATATAGGAAACAGATGAGTTATAAAACAATTCACCCCCTCACACTTGTCATGAAGGGTAATATTAGCTATATGAACCAAAATCCTTCTTTGTACCAGGCTGTAAACGCCTTTTTTTCTGCTGTAAAATGGGCCATTTTAACATTGGGGTCAATAGAAATTTCAGTTACTTCTGTATTTGCTTCACGAGGGAGGGCAGGAGGTTGCCGCTTGGTGGTAACACATTGAAAGATTTTAATGTTTTGGTGTAGTAGAGCAAATGAAACTGTAAATTCAGCACAGTAACATCTGCTGCTGCTCCCGATCTTCCATTAAGAGCATTTTCTGTGTAATGATGTGATCCGTACACATCAGCTTCACCTACAAAATAACAGTGTAAGAGCTACCAGTTAGTGTGATGTTGTTGAGGCTTCTATTTTTAGAACAGTGGTTCTCAAACATCCTGCTATATGACTTTGTTGTTTAAATGAATTTAATAAACTAATTTCAAAATTAGTCCTAGAAGGATATTTCACTCAAAAATATGTCGTCATGTACTCTCTCTCCACTTGTTACATCCTTGAGATGCTTTCTTTGCTAAACAAAAATAGATATTTTTAAAATGTTGGAAAACAAACAGTTGATGGTAACCACTGACTTCTATAGAATTTGTTCCTAATTTCCTACACTAAAAATCCTTTCGTTAACAGTTATTAACTGTATTTTGTGATTCACAAGTGTTTTTCTGTTTATTTACAGTTGTGAATTGCAATATGGAAGCTCGATCTCTGCTTTGTCGACTTTTTATATTAAAAATTCAACTCTGAAGTTTAACAAAGTGACTTATATTTACATTTTAGTAGATTGTAATGATGTATAATAAATAATATATAGAGAATTAAGGTAAAATAACATAACATGTACTGTCAGTTTATTACAAGCATTTTGTACCGTACGTGTACCATAACACCAACACAGACAATTATATAAATTGTAAGTCACTTTTGCAGACTTTTCAAGATTAAAAGTTGTTGAAAGAAAGGTCAAATTCCTTTTATACAATTCAAAAAATAAATAAAAAATAAAAACATGAATCGCAAAATAGGGAAAACTGCTAATTTACAGATATTATCTTGCAGTGTATTTTGGAGATGACAAAGAAACATCTACAAGTGGAACATGCATAAACAATTACAGAAATTAGGTTTTCAGGTTGAATTATTAATTTAATATATAAATCTACAGCTGAAATAAAGAAAGTAATGGTCTTTGAATACTGGGTTGGACAATGGGCGCACAAAGTTTGAGAACCGCTGTTCTAAAGCAAAATGTATTGAAAACCCTGTAGTAACTAAGCCTAGCAAAAAGCATAGCAAAATGCACAAACCTGGAGCTTTATATCATTCATTTTGCTTTGGTCTCCCTGTAGACTGTATCCATGCTTTTTCAGAAGACATTCAATGTGGCTTAATGAGAAAGTAAAGTTAAAGTCACATTCAGAAAGCCATTTTACAAATACTCCCAGTAATGATTGTGACCTGATGTAAACGCGCACCTCTTCACCTCAGCGTTGGGTTCCAGTGTATAACGATCCTCTATGAAATGCTGGAACTGAAGGCCCTTAGTATCCAGATTGTTCAGGGCCTCACATGCAGCAATGCGCACACCGGGCTCCTCCTCATGATGTACAGCCCACATTAGCAACTCCTGCAGAGCAGGATTCAGCCAACCTATATTCCCTAAAGCTACAGATACATTATATCAGCTTCGTTTAAGTGTCCCTATTACGCTTCTTCAGATATGACCTTTCATGTAATATGTAAAATAGCTGTTTGTAATGCATCAAAGTTCAGCATAAATGGAGTCATTAGCTATATTTACATCCATTCAGAGATGTGAATTAGTCTATGAGCAGAACTAGAATATCACATAAACCTTTTGCGAATAAAGCCCCATTTCCATCCAATGATGATTACTTTCTTATAAACTGGTGCCAAATATTCAAAGGAAAAATGATTTTGCTGTGGTAAGAGAAGTCAATGTTGGCTTTTTTGTCTTTTATAATAAACTTAACTTGCACCTCAGAAGAAGAAAATCAATGAATGTGCAAACAAGAATGAACAAGACCATTCATTTTTTAGTGCAGCTGCTCAAGACAGTTCTGGGAGGTAATAATACTGAACCATTTTGATGATGGACTTTGGCTAAGAGATTTTGAAATGACAAAAACAACATTTCAGGAATTTCACAATGTGGCCGATCTGCTTGTATTTCCAATTATTCGTCCCGTCAAGGCTATTTCTGTTATCACATGATCTGTTCAAACTAAATCACGATACTTTTTTTTGATGCACATGTTGGAATTTATTGTTTCCATTGTATCCTATAAGAATTTTTTTTCTTATTGGACAAAAAGTTCATCCTAATCAGTCGTTCATTTTTTATGCACATTTTCAAAATGTAAAGTCTTGGTATTTCCATTAAACATTTTATGCAATATTAAAAAAATATTCCTAATCTCTGCCAAAATATAAAACTGATACTTAATTGTCTGAAATTAACTGATGGCAATTCCTGCTTTACGGCCCGTTCACACCAAGCACGGTACCTAAAAGTGTAAATACAAATATAATGATAATGCGTCTACACTGACAAACAATAATGACCTCTTTATTTTTAGCTTATGCTTTTCATTTGGCATTATCCTTTTGTAACTTACTACGAGCATCTAACCAGTGAATCCAGCTCGTGTAATCAATCTAATTAGACTGTGAATTTAGTGATCGCAGTCAATGTTTTTATTATAATGTCTTAATTGTTATCTTAATATTTATAACCCTTCACTTGGTGTGAATGGGCCTTTATTTGCATAGACCTTCATTCATTCATTTTTGTTTTGGCTTAGTCCCTTTATTAAAAAGAGTTGACACAGGAATAAACCAGAGTAAGCGGAGCAAAATTTATCCAGCTTATGTTTTACGCAGCAGATGCCCTTCCAGCTGCAACCCTTCTCCAGGAAAAACCCATACACTCTCATTCACACACATACACTTCAGACAATTTAGCTTGCACTTCACCAATAGTACATGTCTTTGGACTTGTGGGGAAACCGCAAACACTGGGAGAACATGCAAACTCCACACAGAAATGCCAACCTACCTACTGCGCCACCGTGCACAGGCCGATGTGGGCTTATAAACAAATCTGCATAATGCCTTTATATGGTGTTCATTGATTGACTGCAAACCTCATCTACTCTATTAAATGTTGTGATTTTATTAGTAAGTCTGGAAAGAACTAAGTTTCCGCAGTTAAAAGTGCTTCGATTGACTTTCAAAGTAAGAGTCACACTCAAATGTATGCGGTAAATCTTAGGGCATTGATACTAGCATTAGATTCAGTAGTTCTGACATTCAAATATGTTTGGTTTCCCACACATGCTGTAATTGGTAGACCAATTATAACAGACGGGACTATCTGATCTGACTAATCAGAACAAAGTATGCTATGAGTTTAGAGAGACCAGATTCTTGAAAGAAGCATTTCAGCTACTGTTAACAAAAGGTTGATGCTGCCTTGTTATGAAACATTAAAGTCTGCATGAACCACAGGTTCAGTATGGTCATGTATTTCATACTGAAAAGCAATATTGAGAAGGGGGTGGGGTTTTATTCATGGCTCCTCTCATCTTTCACTAGAAGCAAACTAATGGTTGGAGAAGCCTTGCTAATATTATACCCATAGATATATACACTAGATATCGCATAGGGACCCTGAGCATGCGTCAATCGCGCCGCCACATTGGTACAGTACTCCCAGGACAAATGTCATTCAACCGTACTAGTCAAGACAGTGTTAATATGCGAAGATGCTGGACTTTAGCGCTGTCTACGGGTGTAGTAACGAGCAAACAAAGATCAAAGGCAGAACATTTCATAGATAATATTAAGTTTTTTTCTGTTTTTGTATGTTCTGAACTTTTGTGCTAATAAGGTAACGTTATTGATGATAACAGTCACTTACTGCATTCACTTTAAGGCAAAGCAGCTCCAACTCGCACTAAACACTCGGCTTATGCTAGTTTTGTTGAATAAAATCAGCAAACAATGCAAAAGAAATATGACACAAGATGCTGCGCTACCAGAAACTTTTATTATTGTCGGCTAGTGAAGGAGTCGTTCCGGGGATTCATTCACAAACGAATCGCTCCCTCCGTCAGTATGAGAAGTAAAAGCAGGAGAGGAGGTGTGTTTCAGGACACGGATTAGATCAAATTTAACAGGGAGGGTGAAAAGTACATTTCTGTACACACAAACACAAGCTTTTAGTCAGGAATGCCCGTGCGGTCACTGATCCATCAATGTAGAAAAGTGATGTAAAATTATAATTTTTGTAATTAAAAAAAAAATTACATACTAACATCCAGGAAATCTCCCGATCATTGATATATGTGTATATCTCTGGCTTTGGATGGCCACAGTCTTCCACTGTACCTTGGTCCCGCATTCATTTCAAAGGAGCGCTACCCTGTACCAAGATGGTGGCGCTGTTAACGCATTCCGTCCAATAGACAACAATAGGCCAGGCGACATCTAATGTATATATCTATGTATTATACCCAAGCCGTCAAACTGATGTCATCAGAGAAAGACTGCCCTTCAATAGCAGAAGCAAATGGTTGGTAGATTAAAGATTACCAAAACATTTATTTTTTAATTAACACTAACAATGTCTGCTAGAAATATAAAGACTAAGTTTTGATTTCATGCATACTTTTGAGGTGTTTTTTTGAACACTAATCAATGTACATTTTTAGAATACCATAATAGGGGCACTTTAATGTCATAACATTCATCACATGATACTGAAATCATTCATTTTCACACTTACCATTAATTGCATCCACTTTCACCTCCCATAATGGCTCATTCTGCATCAAGTTAATTAGCTGATCCAAGACCTGCGCACAATGTTCAATGCAGTCATTGGATATGTCTTTTTATTGCACATATGCCATCACAGATCATTGTGCATTAGCACGGCTACTTTGATTTCTTACCGACTGATCTTTCATCATTAGAGACGCTGCAGTCAAGCAGGCTTGTTTGCGCACAGCCTCGCAGTCATCATTAAAGCACCGCAGGAAAGTGGGCAGTAGCGTGGGTGTCATTATGTTGAGCTGACCAATAAAAGTCAGCGCTTCTACTCTGCGAGCGCTCGGTCCCTCCTCCAGCTTTGTGCTGTGGAGATATTGTCTGTTAAGAATGGCCTGAATACAAACAATGTGATGTGTCTGTTGGGCAGAGATAGTGACCTCAGCTCAGCATGCATCTCTTTGGCCGCGTCCAGTTTACTCAGAGCCAATGCTGCAGCGTGACGAACAGCACAGCTCCAGTCATTCCACATCACATGGAGCAGTTTGGTGCAAACATCCTGGGTGAAGAGCATTTTGAGTTTTAGTGAACGACTAGATATGTAGATAGGTGCCAAAATTATAGTTTTATACCTTGTTGATTGGACTCTTGAGCTTGGCAATGCTGTTACAGGCCTGAACTCGAGCTGTCCAGTTAGCATTGTTTAACTCTTCTGCCAGAAGAGAGCGCACTAGTGTCTGGATCAGAAAAAGCATTGAAAATTTTGGGGTCAAAATAGTTTTTTTGAATGCAAGTGTGATTTAAATTCAAAAGTTTTATATTCAAAAGTGACAGTAGATACCAAAAGATAATGTTGTTATATTGTGGATTTGACAAGTCATATGCAGAACAAACTCTTAACATTGATATATTGATCAAGTTAGTTTTTGAATTGATTTTAAAATATTTATACTCACTCATAATGCCTTGAATGGTTTTGCACCAGCAATACTTGTCTGAGCTTTTAATCCCCTATACCCCATGCATGTGCTTTAACTTGTTTCTGGTCTTTTACCTGTTTAGTCCCTGAGTTTAACTCATCACACGTTTAGGCTAGCTTTTATTAGATTTAACAAACTATATATATGATTTTAAAAACTTTTTATTTTCATTTTTTTCATTTTCATTGCTTTGTTTTTTATCTAGTTTTTATGCATGCATTTTATACATCTATACTTTATATGTATGTAAAGTGCTGTATTTTCATTTATTTAGATTTTTAATTGCAATTTTAGAACACAGAGCATACAAGTGCAGTATCAGAACATTAAATTGACATCAAAATTAATACAATATAAAAAGAAAAGAAAATGATCAATTTTACACAACCATAGTTGATCCAAAGTGATCCAAAAAAATAAAAACTGGTGTTAAAAATATAAGGAATTTTTTATGTATATAAATAATACTAGAATACAAATAAGAAATAACATGCATGCATCACTCAAAGGCAAGAGAGTAAAAATAAGTCTTTAAATTACATTTAAAAGCATCAACTGAAGGAGAAATCCTGATGTTCAGAGGGAGATTAGCCCTGTGTGGCATAATTATGACAACCTAATATTTTAAAAATTCCCCGAGACGGTAGCTGCTATGGATCGGCACAGACAACGGTCGTGGCATAAAGTGTTTGAGTTGTACATCTATTCAGAACGTCCAAGCTAAATCTGCTTAAATAAACTAAAAGGGTAGTGGAATTGAAGTACGTTACGTGACTTACATTTTACACACACATAGTTGGTTCTCTGTTATTTCATTTGGTCAGAAGCAGGAGCTACCCTTTGTAAGTTTTGCTAGCGAGTGTATTTAGTGAGGAGCATGTGACGCCGAAGATGTTTTTTTTAAATTTTCAGATTTCTCTTTACTTATTTAGAGGTGGAGAAGGATTAGTTAGTGGGTGTTTAATTTATTTTCTTTGATTTGGCACCGCTTATTTTGCTTCCGTCTATCAGGTTTGTTTCAATTGATTTCGTTGCTTATTTTGCATTTATTGTACACATTTGTATATATACTTTGGGTGATTAAATATTCTTTTTTTCCCCTTTTTATTGTAAATAAAGCAAACCACTTTTTGCCACTTGCGTTGTCTGTATTGGTCCATATCAGCTAAAGTCTCAGGGGAATTTCAAAAATATTGGGTTGTCATAATTATGTTTAGCCCTTTTCATCCTCTGAGCCACATGGGAGTAACATAATTTGGGGGCTCGTCCGGGATAAAAATGCTTTTTGAACAGCAAATGAGCGAACAGTATTAGAATGATCTTTGAATGATCACGAGACTGAATACTACAGTAACATTGCTGAAATTTTAGCTTTGCCATTATTAATGAATTAAAAAATACTAATATTTAATACTTGATTTTTTAATAGATTTTTTTAGGAACAAAATACAGATAAATACATCAATACATACACACGTATACAAAAAAATACTAAATTAGCTGAAGAAAACCAACATTATTAAAATATGATCAAAAACAAAAATGATCAAAAATATAAAAAAAATTCATATGTACACGACCGGTCAAATGTTTAGGGTCAGTTTTTTTTTCTTTTAAAGAAAATCAAGACGGCATTTATTAAATGTAAAAAAAAAATATTTTAATGTAAATTAATTGCTAAAACATAATTGCTTTCTTTTTGTATGTAGTTTCAAATGAAATTATTACTCCAGTCAATACTGCTTTTAATACTTTTACCATTAATAATAATACTATTAATAATAACAACAATAATAATCATTAATTGATTTCTGAAGGATCAAGTGACTAAAGACTGGAGTAATGAAGCTGAAATTTCATCTTTAAAAATCACTGGAATAAATGATGAAATTAAATGATAAACAACTTTTGAACAGTTATTTTATTGCGCAATAACATTTCACAATTTTACAATTTGTCCTGTATTTTGATAAAATAAATGCAGCCTTGGTGAGCAGGATAAGGTTATTTTAAAACATTTAAAAACCCACTGACCCCAAACTTTTGACCAGTAGTGTATGTATCGATATCTCATTCTTTTTATTTTCTCAACTTCTTTTCCTATGTTGAACCATTCTTCCTTTGTTGGTGTCTTATTTTATTTCCAGGTTACAGCTTAGGAATAAATTATGTTTCAAATTATTATTCAAATTGAATAATGTTTTACAATATTACAGTATTTACTGTATTTCTATATCAAATAAATGCAAACACATCTTTCAAAAAACATTTTAAAAATAGGAATTGTGCAAACTGCATAAATCAAGATTTATTGCGAGAGTCACTCACCGTCTTGCTGCTAATCTTAGAAAGTAGCATCATAGACTTTTCCTGATCTAAGGGAGCGTCTTTGAGGAAGTGCTGTGACAGGAGTCTCTGTATGACAGCTTGACTCGCGTTACCCTCTATCGCCAAACATTGTGCTGCCACCCAGCTGTCTGTGCCAGCGCCAGACAGGTCTGAGTTAAAACATATGACAGTCATTTGGAGTCAACATCTTGTAGAACAAATATTACTTCTGGCATTAATATTTGATGCCAAGTTATTTAACTTAAATACCTTGCTTAATCATGCTTAGTAGTATGTCTCTGGCGTGTGCATTAGGCATCCTCATGGCATACTGGCAAACTGCAGCAGCCATCCGAACTCTCTTTACTGGGTCATCGAGGGCTGCGATAATAATGGCCAGCAGCTTCTGAGTTATTGCCTTTAACTTTAATCTGTTCCAGTGCTGACCTAAGCAAATATTAGGATTTTGAACAAAGGTGAACAGTTAAATAACAGCATTTAGAGTGTTTAAAATGGGTTGCTTTGTAACAACGACGCTATTCACACTGCTTTTTAGTCATTCAAAATGTCTCAGTTTGAGGAAAAAGCAGGGTTAGCAGACTTTTTACTGTTGAATTACTTATTGCTTCACAATTACATTTGTAAAGTCACTAAAACACGTTGTGTTGTATTTAAATGCATTTGTAAAGATATGTCAAGCAGTTGTGCAAAACTGGTGAATCTGAGTATTGAATAAACTGTTTTAATCTAGATCAGGGGTTCCCAAACTTTTTAGCCCTCGACCCCCAAAATAACAATGCCAGTGACTCGCGACCCCCAATATTTGGTGGTTATAAATCCAGAAACCTTGCATGCAATGGTGCACACACACCAATAGGCCCAAGTCTATTCTTCATTGAATTTTTTTTAATGTATGTCTGCTGTAAATGTGCCAGAAAGTTTAACCTGGTGTTATAAAATCAATCTGCTGCATCTGACACTATTGCTGTGTCTCTAATATAATGAATTACCCCAGGGGTTGCAATCCAATAGAACTAGTAACTATAAGCAACTATAGAACATATATAGAGGTGTATATAGTAACTATAAACGAGTATTTTTTTATTTTCAGTAGGTTATGGGTCAATATGGCCCCCCCTTGGAGGGATCCCGACCCCCACTTTGAAAACCACTGATCTAGATCAACGGGAAAAAGGCTTTTTAGCAGTTGCAATTTATAATACAATGTTCAATGTCAAACACATGGCACGTGTTCATCTGATCAATGACACTGACACCGCAAAAATGTAAATAAAGAGGTTAACAAAGTGCTTAAAGGGGTCCTTTTATGTTATTCAGGGTGTAGTGTGATCTAATAGAAAGTTTCAAATGTCAGTCATCTCCAGAGAGAGATATTTTCTTAATTAAAAAGTCTCTCTTCAAGAACTACAATGAAGGGCTTATTTGAACTTTAAATGTTGTTTTCTGTGCTTAATGATGTCACAAAGCGGCCAAAATCCCACCAAAAGTTCTATTGGTTAGATTGGGGCTAAAAAGTAACTAACATTGTAAGTAAATAACATTGCCACTCAGTCTTGCTATATGCTTAACCTGCTTTGCCATGGTCGAGCTCTTGTTGTGGTCCATGAACTGCTCTTGATGCACAAGTTACGATTGCCTCCAGGCGCACCTGATAATTAGGGTCACAAAGATCTCGTTGTAGGCTCTTGAGGGTCACACCCTGCCAACTGGCACCTCTCTGGCAACACTCTGGCAATTCTACATGAAACATCATCAATTTCCAAAAGGTCTTTCCATCACTGTATAAAATGGGTTCCACACTAGTCTTAAATGTTATCCCAACACAAATCCATTAAGTTAGCTTAATCGTTTTTACAAATATTAGTGGATTGAACTTAAAACAATTAAGTTGTCCCCACACAAAAAAACAAGAATTGTTTCAACTTTTTAAAAAAAGTAGTTTAAACAAGCAGCAAAATCATTTTATGAGTGATGATGTAAAAACAATCAAATATAGACAGGTATCCATGGAGCATTTTTTTAAATACAAAACACATTGTTAATAGATTTATATAAACATCCCATGTAACAAATCTATGTTTTTTCTAAGCATAACTTGTAATATAAGTGAACAGACTATCATTATAAGTAATAATAATAAGATGAAAGCTGTGAAACTAAAGACGTACTGACGTTGCAGGCAATCCTCCACTTGTCAACGGCATAGCGAAGAGCAGAGATTTCGGCCACTGACAGTTTTGGCATCTCAGAATCCTGTCCATTAAAATCAAGAGGTCTGAGACCATGCTGGTGGATGTAGTCAATTTCGGTAGGCTGACGATCCATCCCTTGCTGTTTTTCTTTTAAAGCTTTATCTGTTCCCGCTAAAGGAAAATAATGACAATAACTACATGCATGAACTTATGTCAACAAAGGCTTTTCACTCTGCACTGCTGAGCAACTAATGGCCTAAACTAAAGTGTGTCATTTAATTTAAATTAATTATAACACTGCATGTTGTAAAAGCAGTATGTTTCTGCATATGAGTGAAGCACAGATCATTATTTTTTACCTTTTAGAGCTGTAAAATTCAAGAAAGGATAAACGTGATTAGTATAGTCAGCAAAAAATAGCCTTTTATGAAAACACAGGACTGTAAAACCAAACATAGTTCTAGTTCACAGCATGATATTTTGTGTGCATAATAGTTAATGTTGGAATATGTAATCAATTACATGTGGGTTTAATAAAAAAGATCAGGAGAGGGTTTTTTTTCAATGTCAAAAATATTAGTAATTTATTGGATATAAATTGAATGATGGAATTGAATTGAAATGAAAATCAATAATTCGATTCACAGATTTCAGGTATCCTCAATGCAATGCAAGAATTAAATTCAGGACGTACGCAATAACTTTCATTTCCTGACTTCAATTTTTAAATTTGAAATTCGTCACTTGTCAATCATTCTCCAGTCCTCCGTTGGCCGCACTCATACATACGTCTTCTTTTTCTACAAATTCTCTGCACAACATTAAAAGCATAAGACTTTCTCAACTGCAAATATTCTGTGTTAGGTTTCAACCCATCTCTGCTAACAGGAAGTTAGCAGAAGCTGCAGAGCTAAAGTTAATTTTAGACAATCAGGCCTTTGCATTTCTATCAGCTTCATCTACTTCTGCAAATGCAGAATTACACAAAAAGCTTTGAAGTAATGTTTATCCTACTTAAAAGGTTTTAAACAAGTAAATGGCGAGTCACTGCTGACAGAATTTCAGCTTGTTGCTGAACTATCCTCTTAACATATAGGGGACTTTTTTTTTCTTCACTTGAATGTTGAAACTGTGCTCCTTGTGGATTCATAAATGCAAGTTGTATTAGTTTATTTTTTGTTTAGTACAAAATAAAAAAAGAAGTTCTAATAACTTAATCTTAGCTTGAAAATGTGTAGTTTGTTTACTCCGTAATCAATTTCCTCAAATGATTTGAGAACGGTCAGATTTTACAATGCGGATTTGTGCTGTATTCATCCAATTATTGACACAGCAAAAATGCAAATAAGGAGGTCAACCCTGTTCAGCAATGTAAATTATTACATTCAAGTATAGGAAAAAAAGTACGAGCAATATAAAGCAAGACAACCAACCATTTAGGATAAAACTGATTTAAGCATTTTAATAGTAAAACCCCCCTAATGACGATTTCATAAGTGTACCTCAGAATACATATTTAAGAAACATATGCAAGCCAACCTGAGACCATTTTCTGTTCAGAGCCATGGCTGCTGGCATGTGGATTCAAGATATCCTGCAAACGAGGGGCTTGCGGGATCTTAATGTGCTTGACCCTTATTTTGGTGTTTAAGTGATTCTGCACATTGGTGCTCGCTGGAGAAAAAATATAATCCGCTATCCTGGTAAACAGAGACAAAAAAAAACACAAGTGTTAGGCTGGAGACTAAGGGATTATCTTCCCAAAAATTCTTTGTCATTAATTTCCTTTTCCTTTAGAACACAAACTGACCAAAACTGGTAATCCACTCTTGATAACCCACTCACTTTCACTTATACAGTGGAAATAAATTGAAAATGAAATGGTAACTGTTTGGCAACAATCATTCTTCGGTTCAAAATATGTCCTAGACAGTCGTACAGGTTTGAATAGACAAAAGTTTTTGAAAAGATTATTTGGGCAAATCATTTTAAAGAAAGCAAAATATCTTGCAGTCAGACGTACCTGTGTTTTTTCCTAAGCTGTAACTGTTGATTTGTATTTGCTGCAAACTCTGGGCACCTATTGTTCTGGACTTCCCAATCCTCTATAAAAGTTTCCCTCAGACAGGTGTGCGCATTCAACAACCCGAACGGGTTTGTTTTTCTGAACACATCGCTCACATCGTTCTTTGCAGAGGCTTGTACAGAAGACTTGCCTGCTTCTTGAGTTAAAGGATTATTGAGGTTGTGTATTTCTTTATTCCTTCTAATTTTTTTTAACCTGGTACTTGGTGCTAAGGGGCCCGTGGCATGGAAAAGCCAACTAAAATCTATTTCTTTGTATGAAATGGGTCTCATTTCTCTTATTACATCTTCAGAGAAAGAAAGGCACTGGCTTGCGTTATTCAGAAGTTTCTTGTACAGACACTCCTCTCTCCGCTTGCTGTGCTGCTCTGGTCTCCATTTTGCATGTAGTGGATTCATGCTTCTTAGTGATAGCTTTTTAAAATTGTCTAAAAAAGGAAACAATGATCAACAATTGATTATTTGATTATATATGTAAGGCCTGCTGGTTACTACAGCCTTTAGTTGTTGAAAGAAAGCTGGACATCATTTTAAAAAGCACCACTGGAATATAAATAAAAGAAAAAGAAAAAGACACTTACCAGCACACTGCACAAAACACTTCCTCCCCACTGAAGTACAGCTCACGTCAAATATAGCTCACGTTAGACTATGTATTTTTCCGTTGATATCAAACAATTCGACTTGCAAGAAGGATAATAATAACTTTAAATCAATAAAAGAAGAAAATCAGGTCACTGTTAGACACGTTAACAATTCCAGCTCTGTCAGCGCTCAATGTTGGCATAGCAACAAGACGCGCTTTTGTTTTCAAGGCTGTCATGAACGCTTGAAGTGAACTTCTAAAGTCTAAAGCGTTCAGCTAAGTTCGCTCACTGATTCATATTTGGCCTCCAGGGGTCTGTAGATGGCGTCATGCTCCAGGCATTATTTTATGTATGGCGTGTTGTGCACAATATGTGCAACAACAATAATAATATAAATGTCTGGCCTAGGAATGAAAGCATTGGTGCGAAATATTAATTAAATTACATGTGAAACAATCGGTTTATAAAGTGTCTACTAATGAGGTTTGGAAGGATTTTGGACATTTTAAAACGATTCTAAGTCTACATTTCGTCCAAAGTCAGATGGCTATATATTTTCAGATTGATCATTTTTTATCCATCCATCCATCCATCTTGGCCATGACAACAACTAAAAAATTATTAAAATTATAATAAAATATAGATAAAAGATCATGTATATTATTTTCTGAAAAATAAGAAAATAAATGCCTGTATAGCTAAAAAATGCTTTTCATGAAGAATTATTGTTTAATGAAAATATTTTGTTTTACTTAAATTAAATTCATTTAATTACAAAACCCTCACTATAAAATTTCTATTCAATTATTTTAAAATAATGTGTATCTATTAAAATTATACATATTGTCTGTAAATCTTATACCTTTAAATAGGTGAAATCATCTATCACAGGTATTTATAGAGGAAATATAAGTGATTTCACTGATTATGATCTAAAGCACTAAAATCACTTCATGTTGCTTTAACTTTTTTTAATAAGTCTATCAAAGTTTAACTTAATATTTTAGTCAGTTTCATTGATGTAAAGTTAATTTGATCCAACAAAAAAATTTAAGGCAGTAAGAATGTTTTTTACAGTGTATAAAATGAATGACAGAATCAGTGTTTTAGCGTTGTCTCAATTTTATTCTGCACTATTTTTTTTAACAGTCACTGCCATTTCAACAAGTTTTCTTCTCTTTCTCACAGCTCTACTTCAAACATACAAGTCAAGCCATAACATTGGTTCACAGGGGAATTGTCCTAGTACACGATGAGTTTTACTCATTATGCCAAATGTATTTCCAATGTGATGTCTACTGCCACAGAGACATACAGTGATAGGCGTGAAGGACCATCTTGCTGTCGGGGAGTTTTATACAAGCTGCATACATAAACACATCCTTTGAAACAATGTGAGCAACTTGCCATGCAGCCTTTGCTTTTATTAACTGGACAGCAATCTTTGATGCCAACATAATCATTGGATTAGCATTAACAGAATAAAATAAATTAATTAAAAGTAAAAGATGAAGAAAAAAAAGGTGAATATATGAATAAAACAACTGTTATTACTGCAACCAGCATGTATATTTTTCATCTGTTTTCATATCATTCTGAATGATTTTGAATCACATATTACAATCTGAAGCATTTAGGAAATTCCTTTTTTATTTAACAAAAAAATCTTGTTTTAAATCCCATACTAATGCTTCACATTGTATATGTATTAATGGTAATTCATAAAAACATATTTAAACGTATGTCAAATTATGAACAAAGGCAAGATGGAAGTTATTTTATTTCCCTCCTATGCACTTGGAGAAAGCCAGTCACAGTGACGCTTCTTTCTTTCAGTCCGTCAGTGACCACAAACATTCATTAAAAGCAATTAATCTTTGACCTAAATTCAACACATTCCTTTAATTTTTGTTTAAAATAATTTATTAAAGGTGATATATTCCCCAGTCAGCTGTTACTAAAGAGTATGAAGAGCTGGTTCTACTGACGTACAGTATATCCCAACCCAGCCCTTTAATTAAAATTCAAATGTAAACTAAAAGAGTCTTCAGTGCTGCACTGAATAAGCCACATTTCTAATTTTGCATGTGTTAACTGTTGGAGCAAAACAGAGTTCATGAGGATACACTCCATCAGTTCCACATCAAGCAGTTCCTTATGAGGGACTAAACAGCCACAAAGTCCACTTTCTTCATATAGTGCAAATTATTACGTTTAGTTATTACATTTTTTTCTGTCGCTGAATTATTCACTAAAGTTGCTGTTAATTTACTCACACTGAAGCCATTCTAAAACAGGTTTCTATTTCTTTCTGTGGTACATTAATGTAGACTTTTAGCTAAAACTGCTCAAAAATCAATAAAGGAAAACTAAAGACACTCGGATAGTGGAGGAAAAACATAAGCAAAACTACAATACTGACAATGTCTTATTATGAGGCAAAATGATGAAGCATTAATATATTTTCATTATTACAGTTTAATAACTGTCCTTAAGTTACTGACAACAGTCTGGAGCTTCTTATCACTTAATGATGTAAAACTGAACTGACACTGTTAGTTTACCATCTTGTAGATTACAGCATCCAGGATAAGCTGTAAAACCAAACAGTAAAGTTTTTTAAACATCATCTTCAATCTGGGAGATTCTCTCTTCTGCCTCACTGATTCTTTGCGATTGTAACAGTCACTTTAATGCCATTTACAGCTTCTATCATGTCAGTCAATTCAGAATTCAAATCTCAAAGATTGAACTTCACCGATAATGTCGTAATTTGTAGCCACTTTGTGCATTTTGCCTCAGCTTGTTGGCTATATCTGAGCTATCCCCCTGCAGGTGGTAACATTACAGAGGGCTTTGGATGATGTCATAATTTAATGGTTTTTGATGGCATTTAATTTCTTAAGTTCCTTTTTCAAGTGAATATTAAACATTTAAATATGTTCTGTATCTTATTTAGGGTTTTTTTTGTTAATATTTAGCTGTGAGCTCAGTTCTTGCGACTTTTCAGCTGCATGTCATTACCAAAAGTGTCAAACAGTGAAGGTAAATGAGCTCATTACAAGTATAAATGACAGTGTAAAAATTAATTGTTTTGAAATAAGTGACATGAACTCAAAAGTTTTATTTATTAGCAGGAATTTCTAGATTTCTAGTTCGCAGCATGCTTTCGATCTAACATGATGACAAATCAGAATTAAAATTTAGTATTATTTTTGCATTTTTGAACAAAATTAACAGAGAAATTTAAAAGAGTATTTAATTTTTCTTAAAGTTTCTTTATTTTGAAATTCGTAAGGTTATCATTGTGGTGAAGAGTAGAGCCTGTGGTATGTTTGAGATGGTTAAACACTGTTTAAAATAGGGATGTCCTGATCAGCTTATTTTGTCCTCGAGTCTGAGTCGAAGCCATTTGATTTTGAGTATCTACCGATACTGAAACCGATCCGATACTTCTAAAAATACATTAAAAAAAAAATAAAGAAGAGCATCGAAACAGATCCAGGATGTTCCTTATTTTTTTTATTTAATTCACCTTATTTTAACATTTAAAAACTCTGTTGACAAACAGAGCACTTCTGTGAGGTAGCTTGAACAATCAAGTAATAAATAACATAAATTCTTCACTTTTTAACTTTAGTGCAACAGTAAATATTAAAAAATTAAATATAAAAACAAATAGCACCTCAATTTAAAATACTCGGCAGACAATCCTAAGTTTACATATGTCACAGTTTGCTATGGCAATGTTGTCGTCATCAGCTTTATTGATAAATTTTATTCACAGACATACTCGCGCTTTCCGCTTCAAGCTGCTTCCTTGTTCTACTTTGCCGGCATTTAACCAATAGCGTCTCTGCAAGCAAATGATGTCATGTCATTCCACACGCGTTGTTGTATTTTTGTGAAGTCAAGATAGAAGTCTAACTCTGTGCCACTGCATAACTATAGAAGTGTTAAAAAATAATCTGAATGTATATATGTATATTCATATATATATATATATATATATATATATATATATATATATATATATATATATATATATATATATTTATGTATATATTAGTGCTGTCAAAATTAGCGCGTTAACGCATGCGATTAATTTGAAATATTTAACGCATTAAAAAAAATTAATGCAGTTGCAGGTTTTTTTTACTTCCTGTTGTGGTCGACGTGTGTTCAACATGCAAAGAATGGATAAGACCAAGGAAGCACTTTTTGAAGGCAAGTTTTAGTATAAAACAATTAATGTTGCATTACTAGGGTATCCAGCGTTTCCTCCAGAGTTTCATGCAATTTCGGGTGTTTCATTTTTAACTTTTGACTTTTGTTTAATGGAAATTGATACCGCAAGGCAATTGTAAAGAAAAATCTCTGCATTTTGTGACTCGGTGGTCCTTTAAGATGGTCCTTTACATGGTAAGCTCTTAATAATTTTATTATCTTAATCATATTAAAATCGGAGTGTTGGTGTCCAAGTAAATGTACTCAGAAAGTGCCAGATGAAGTCCGCGCTGTCAAAGACAAGCGCATTCCTCTGCTTTTCAGCATGTGCCCTCCAATGTTTTAATAAGTTTGACGTGTTTCCCCCTTAAACGCAACTTTTGTAAAGCATATGCTTCACGTTGATGTATCAGAATCCTTGTGAAATATTAGCAATTGACAGCACTAATATATATCTTCGAGTCCTGATTGGGAGGTAACGTCCGATTCCAATCGAGCCTTAAACTGCGTGATTGGGCCCGATCCCCAATCACGTGATCAGATCTGGACATCCCTAGTTTAAAACTTTATATATTGCATGGTTCCCAGCTGTCATCATATAAGGGCATATAAATAGCATCTTTGATAGTTCATTAATAGAAGATTTTGGAAACTTCTGAATTAAATGTTAATAAGAGCCACCTGTACGCTGTACCACTCACTACAAACATTTTGTCATGGTAGAAAAATTTAATTTAACACAAATGTTGAGTTTTATTTGAGGCTTTCCACAATTGTTTTGCATAATTTGAACTTATCAGGTTTTATAGTGCACCATTTTGAGGAACAATATTGTCTCTCTCAGTTATAAATCTCCACAGTTTTAGCTAAAAAAACTTGTAATTAGCTAAAAAAAATTGTAAATGTCTACTGAAGAAAAAGTTTTCATCTTGAAAGGCCTGGTTGTGAGTAAATTACAGCAAATTAAAATCTTTAGGTAAAGCACCTCTTTAAACTGAAGTCTCCACACAACAGGAGCCTCTGCGGACATAATACCTCCTGACCTCAGAGGACTCTCCGCAGCCCTCAGACCGGTGTACTATGAGGACTGGAAAGAATCGAGCGTCTTGATAGTTTGGTGGGCTGTCATTGAGAGCCAGCTGACTGGTGTAAGACCTACAGCACTGCTCGTCAGGGCAGCATCGCTCTGTTAGGGTGCTACTGCGGCTTCTCCACAGTCCTACGGTGCGTCTGGAGCCATACATGCGGCAGAGCGAGAAGTGTGAGGTGTCCAGGGACAAACGCGAGTGGAAGGTGTGCCGAGAGAAGATGGAGGAACAGCTGGAGCTGATGGTTGGCCGCCTTTCCCCTCCTTCTTGTTGGCAACAGTGCTCACAGTTCTGCACCAGCGTCCCGTAGCTCTGTGTTGAGCAACTGTCCAACAGTAAACGGTTGGAGGAGATACTGTCTCTGTGGTTTGACCCTGAAGCCCCCAGGTTCATCAGCATGGCCTCTGAGTAGCTTGGAATAAGCTGGCGGTTTGAGCGGATGTGCCATTCCAGCTCTGTACTGTCCACCGTTTCTGCTCTTGGAAGGCCATAGCGATTGTTCCTCGTGGTGTCATCGCCCTCTGGAGATGGGCTGTTGTTTGTATACTCCAATCCGAATAGTTTCTCAACTTGGTAGTGCACAAATGCTGTCCGGTACTCAATCAGCACTCGCAGTGGCCAGGAGAGCATGAGGAGAGCTGCCATCCAGAAGGTGACCCGTGATGTGTACCACGGCAGCTGGTCAGGATCCACATAAGCTATGAGGTGCTCTTTAAAGTCGACGTTCTTTAAAAGCATCCCTTCACGGGCTTCCATGTAGTCATCAAGGCCCTCAATTTCTGAGAAGAACCTGGCACGCTGATTGAGGTATGCATTTTCAGGTCCTGCTCCCGCGAAGCTGAAGCATTTGGAGAAATGCAACCGCGTCGCCGCGTGACCTTCCAGTCCACGTAAGTTGCGTGAAACATCTTTCATTCCACACCGGCTGTAGTCGAACTCGCCTTCTGCCACGTGTGTGTTTACACGCTCATGGTAAACCTGCGTGGTCGTGTAGGCATCTCCATTTCGGTAACGCGTTACTTGTCGAGTCCTACGTACAAAGTGGTAACTGATGGCTTTCCACCAAACGCAAGGTCGGGCTTGGCGCATTCGCAAAACTCTTTCATACACACTCTCAGCATTGGCCTTGCATTGTAACTCACTGCGGGCTCGACAGTGCCAGCATTCCATAAGGTATACGGCATAGAGCATGAGCAGGAAGGCCAGCGGGATGTAGACATAACCATCAGAGCAAGGGCTGTCGTGGTATATCATGGAGCGACCTCCTCCTCTGAGAGAGTTCATTGAGGCTGTAAGGGACGTGCTGGAGGAATCGAAGCTCAGCTTGGTCACCTGTGTGAGCTGACACCAGGCCACAGCTCCCAGGCAGCTGTACATGAGCAATGACAGGAGGAGGCAACGCCAATGAGTCTCGCGGCACATAGAGGCACTCAGTGACTGCTTTATCGGCCATTGCTACAGGGAACAATGAGAAAGAGAAACAGTAATAAGCATATTGTAAAGCAGAAAGTATAGACATGATATGAATGCTGTGAATAAGAAAACATTTATTCATTTTCTTTTTGGCTTAGTCCCTTTATTCACCAGGGGTCACCACAGCTCAATGAACCACCAACTTATTCAGCATATGTTTTACGCAGCGGATACCCTTCCAGCTGCAACCAAACACTGGGAAACATCCACACACTCTTTTACACACATACACTATGGCCAGTTTAGTTTATTCAGTTCACCTATAGCGCATGTTTTGGACTATGGGGGAAATCGGAGCACCCGGAGGAAACCCGCGCAAACATGGAGAGAACATGCATACTCCAAACAGAAATCCCAACTGACCCAATGGGGCTTGGACCAGCCATCTTTTTGCTGTGAGGTGATCATCATGCTACCCACTGTACCACTGTGCATTAATGTATGCTTTATATATATATATATATATATATATATATATATATATATATATATATATATATATATATATATATATATACAGATGCAAAAACCTCTAAATACCATCTGACATTTTCCTCTAACAAATTTGCATTGTTTTCAGGCTCCTAGGTGCGTTCAATAATGTCACTTTTATTGCAAAGAATAATTCCTTTTCCTGGTCTTTAAAGTGAAATATCTCAACATAAACAAATGAATAATGTTCATTGTCGATGGAAATTTCAGACCACACTTTTTGCATCTGAAGTCTTCATATATATATATATATATATATATATATATATATATATATATATATATATATATATATATATATATATATGTTTTAACAAGCTTTGGAGACATATAATAGCTTAAAATTCATTTTTAATAATAGGTCACCTATAGCTTTCGTCATGAGCCACGGCTGTGTTCAAAATGTCATAAATGTTTTCAAAGTGCACTACGAAGTGAACATAATAGTCAATATGAATTAAGAATGTTCTAAATTAATAGGACATAGGGGGGGATAAAGGGGAATAGAACACAGCCAAGAATTATGCTTCTAACTACAGCTCTGGAGGTGAACAACGCACTGTTTGTAAAGACGGAACTTAGTTAGCTAATGGTTTTGGGAAATGCTACCCAGAAACATTCACTGTTTGCAGGTATTTTAGAACAGCTTTGAATGTGGCTCAACCAATCAGAATCAAGGACCAGAAATCTTATTTAAAAACTGAATTAATAACTGCAATAGTCTGCTTTCAATGACTCAAGCCAAGGTAGCTAGCTAATGATGTTTTGGAAATAAGAGGCTTGTAATGGGATATCTGGTGTACAGTATTTTCGAATATTTCTGTTGGCCTGTTACTCTGTTACTCCTTACTCTAGCAGCATACATCACAGATCAGTGTTGTTATTACTCAATTAAACTACAATTATTAAATGCAGTTTCAGTTAAATAAAAGAAGACTGAAAGGAAAAAAAAACAAATAAATGTAAGATCAATATGTAATAAAAAATAAAAAGTAACTTCTTTTTACTTTTCTAATAAAAATACAGGTAAAATACATAAAATACTACAACAGGCATGGTTTCATTTGAGTTTGATTCAAATAAAGTGCAGACAAGGCACTGACAGTGAGTCTTAATGTGACTAGAAGGCTATAGATCTTTGTAGGGAAAAGTGGGCCCTGACAAGACTGAGGATTTGTTGCAATCCTTCAGTTGAGACTTAATTACCTATAGTACATCCTGACACAAAGACTCCAGATTATGTCTATTAAGCCTAAAACAAGCACTCCCTTGCTTTAGACATCTGGCCTGTATTAAACTGGTTGCCAGTGATTTTAATTACAAAATCCCATCCCTTTTTTCCCACAATGTGAACATCATAGGGTGTTGTGTCTCTAGGCAATTATGAGTTGAAACAAAACATGCTGGATGTCACTGCCACCTTCTCTCGAGTCTTAAATCAATGCCAGACGAAATCTATCAAATGGATTATTTTGTATCTGAAAACCTGCAAGTGCAAGAGAGTGTCTCGGCAATGGTTTTGTGTAGCCCTGAACTTGTTACACCTCTAAAGCTTTGCACAGCAGTTGTTATATGTGGAAAAAAGGGTTTGTTTCTAGTTCTGAATTTGTACATTTAATCATTACTCGTTCTACAAGTGAGTTACTGAATACAAACTGTGATCAAAACGTCAGCTACTGTACTTCTGTACATTCCCTGAATTATACTTTAAGATAAACTGAATAACAAACATTTGAGAAGATTGTGTTTTGAGTATTTATATTTGAGGTTCATGTTCATGGTCTCTGTATGAGTTGAGAATGTTTTTTGTTGTTCAGTAAGTGTCTGTACATCCCAGCAGCTAATACCACCACTTCTGATATTTATAAGGGTTGAAAGGCTTTTAAAGTGGAGAGAGCGAGGTGCAACATCAATAATGGAAATCCCACATGAAAGAGAATACTGTGACAGAGCTAACAGTCAGCCATTCAAAAGCATGCAGTCAAAAAACAGCTCTTATCTTCACTTATGTCCACTGGATAAGTGAAACTTTGGGTGTAATATGGTTATGGATAAGACGCATAAGCAGATTACAGCTGAAACTTGATGATGACTTAAGGAAGGCCGAATGTGAGGGCACTGATTTTGTTTGGCAGTTTACTGTGGCACAATATTAAGTAGTTATATTTAAAGCAGCTTGTCATCTGGTGATCCCTATAAAAAATAGATCCCTACTTGATTTCTGTGGCTGAGTTTTGTTTTTGTCTTGTGAAATATTTAAATTTTTATAGATATTTAAACAAATATAGAGATAAATTATTCTACACACCTGATGATTTCAACAATATAAACAGTACATTTTGAAATAAAGTACTGGTCAAAATATTTTTTAATGATTTTCTAAATTTATTTGGTTAATTTGATTTTAAAATGTTTGGAAATCTTTTTTTTCCTGTTCATATGTTTGAAAAATGTAATTTATAATGCTTGAAATGTAATTGGTATTGCTTAAAATATTAGTATGCAATGCTTATGCATGTATATGTAATGCTTCAAATGTAATATTTATTCATAAAAATGTAATTTGTAATGCTTAAAATGTAATGTTTAATGCTGAAATTGTAATTTGTAATGCTTAAAGTGTATATGCAATGCTTAAAATGTCATTCGTAATGCTTAAAATGTCATATGTTATGCCTAAAAAGTCATTTGTAAAACATTTCTTTAGATTTTTGCAAAAACTAACAGCATGTATCTCAAATAAAATATTGATATATTAACTAAAAGGTTACTGTCACTTCTGATCATTTTAATGTGTCCTTAATTAACAAAAAAAAAAAAAAAATATATATATATATATATATATATATATATATATATATATATATATATAGTTTTATACTGTTAAATTTATAATCACATGCAATTAACATTTTCTTCCTTTTCAAAATTCATATAACATCAATTAGGATGTGTAAATAAATATAGTAAGAGTTATTTTCTAAGAACAGTGTAAACTGGTTTAGATAAAGAATAAAAAATAATATCCTAAAAATATAATATCCAATCATAGTTCTGAGTACCCACAAGCAGGATTTGTGTGAAAGCAGAGGGACAGAACTGGCAGGCCATGCCAAAAGGCTCCACAAGGCAATACGCACCAATAACTTTAATATCAGAGATGCAGGCTTAAATCAGCGTCTTGTCGTTTAGTGTTTTTTTTCAGGTATCATCTAAAACAGAGTTCTGATCTGACTCTCTCAGTAAGGGAGATTCTCTAGCTAACAGGCAGGCACTCAATGGCATAATCACAGCAGTGCACTCCTGATATGTTGATCAATGCACAAATCATATAAACTGCGGATGCAGAATATGACAACTCATTTATAGACCTACACCTGATGTATAAATACAGTTCCTTCTTTAAATCTGCTTGACCTCAGGAAGTCATTGTGGAATCAAACTGTGTTGATTTTAATGCACATATATATAAATAAAATCATCATACAGCTAAAATCATATTTAAATATTGCATCCTTTGATACTTCATATCTGCAATCAGATATTCTATAAGATATCTGATGCTGACAAAAAACTTGTGCACAATAAACTTTATGCATCATTTGCAAGCAGAGGAATTTTAAGCCTTTAAACAACAAACGCAAGTGATTATTATCCAACCTGTGTTTTCTCAAACTCAGCCACACTTTTTCGACCAGTCCTTAAGATAGTAGTGGTCCACAGGGAGATATTGTAATGCTGAAATGCCCTCTCTACCGTGACTAAGGTACATCTAGTCCTGATGGCAGTCACCATAATCTCACCTCTTCCAGCACATCGAGACTGGCCGGTGTCTCCGCGCCACCATCCGGGCTGCTCGGCGCCGTGTCCTCCGCAGTAGTATCAGTTTCCAGATCTAAAGACAACATCCTGCGGCAGGTGGAACATTGCAGTCAAATATGTTATCTGCAGTGTGCGCCGCTTTTCTCAATGAAACCCCGCTAAGGACGCTGTTCAACCCGGTTGTGCTGTGCTTGGGATGGATGCCAGGAGCGCCGGGGATCCCGCTCTGGGTGTTCCCATTCAGGCAGACCGGGGGGCGGAGACCGCGGGGAGACTGCGGAGGAAAAAACCGCTCTCCAAAGTCTGGTGGAGACCCATGATGCCTTGGTGTGTTTGTGTAATGATCTTACTGAATGTTATATGCGATCGATTAATTGAAATAATTAAAACAGTTATTAGATAAAAATATATCTGTCACAAATAGTTTGGTGTGAAGATATGATCAACATGCATATAGGACTTAATTATAGAGTTCACTGATGCTGAACAAAGTGATAAAAGGAAAGGTAGTGATTTTAAGACAGTGCATTTGTAATAAAGCTAGCCTATTAACCTCTATGCAAATCACTAAATCCTAACCCTTTTTTTCTTTGCATTAATATATTAGTTTAATTATATTTTAAAGTATTATATAATAGCTATAATGTAATATAAAATAATACTATTAATAATAGCAATGAATAGCCTATACACAGTTGAATTATACAAAATTATCAGCCCTCCTATGATTTTTTTTTTTTTTTAAATATTTCCCAAATGATGTTTACAGAGCAAGGAAAATTTCTATATTTCCTATAATATATATATATTTTTTTCTGGAGAAAGTTTTATTTAGGCTAGAATAAAAGCAGTTTTTATTTTTAAAAAACAAAACAATTTAAGGTCAAAATTATTAGCCCCTTAAGCATTTTTGCAAAAACTGGCTAGATCAAACCATACAATGACTTGCCTACCGAAATTGACTAACTAACCTAATTAACCTCGTAAAGCCTTTAAACTTTAAGCTTAATACCAGTATCTTGTTATTTATTAGAAATTAGTTATAATATGGAGTAGATATATAAGTGGATTTTAGGTCGGTATTTTGTAATTAAGCTTCTAAGAAAATGTTTCTTCAAATATAATGTCTTTAAATTATTTATGTATAGAACTTATCTCATGGGTCTTATATATATAATATTATTATATATAAGAGTCTTATATCATAATATAATATAGTATTAGTCTTATATTATAATTTAATATATTGCAATATGATTAATATAGGCGCTGTGTAAAACATATGCTGGATAAGTTGGCGGTTGATTCCACTGTGGCGACCCCAGGTTAATAAAGGGACCAAGCCGAAAAAAATGAATGAACGAATAATATAATTGATATTATATTGGATGTTATAAAATGTAAATTAAATAATGATTTAATTAATAATTAATTACAAGAATGCATGACGGAGTAAAACAAAATAGTTTTATTTTATAAATAGTGTAATATTTTATTACACTCTTAAATCAAAGTGGCTTTTATTTTGCAAGGGTTACTCATAACCCGGAAATGGTGTCACGTTTGTAAACTCTACATGTGTTTAGTGTACAAATGCAGCTCATGGAGGACCGTGACATAAAGCTCGTAGGTTTCCTATAACGGAATAATTCTTTAACTTATGTATATAAGTAATATTTGTGATGATCACGACCTGACCGACGTTACTAGTAATATTAAAAGCTCAGTTCATTTGCATGTGTTGATCATCTACTCCAAGACATAAGAAAACTTTCAAACTGTCATTCAGTTCAAGATGCACTGTCAAATTTCAAGGCTGGGTATTAAATCGTTATTATTGCTAACACTCTCGTCTAATACATAACACTGTCCTGTGTTATTTCAGGAGAGCGGGATGCTGCGGCGCCCCAAGCCCGCAGACAGTGAGGCGGATCTGCTCCGGGAGCAGCGGGAGCTTCTAGCAGCAGGCGGTCAAACCACGGTCAGTGTGGTGAAGAGACCCGATAAACGCAGAGGAGACGCTGCTGCAGCAGCACCTTTGTCCCAGCAGGGAAACCTCAGAGATGTTGTGACCATTGAAGGTCGGTAACTCTCGAAGTTGTTGAATCATCACATAACACCATTTAGATTAGATTAGAGTACATTCAACTTTGCTGTCATTACACTTGTACTGATACAAGGCAACGAAATGCAGTTTAGGTCTTACCAGGAGTGCAAAAGCAGCAAGGGATGGATATAGGAATTAGTTATAAAGTGCAGATATAGAAAAACTATAGGTAATGTTTACAGATGGATGTACTATGAACATGATATACAGGTTGTATTAGCAATGAACAGAGATTAACAATAGATGAATATATGTACAGGTTGCTATTATAAATCAGTAATATGCAGATAGATATGAACATAATTACAAATGTACAGTGGGTATGTACAATTCAAGATGAATAAGTTGATTGTTGTGCGATGAATATGTGCAATTTAAAATGTGCAAATATTAAATAGTGCAGTAATTATGGGGAGTTTAAGTTATAAAGAGATAGTGGAAGCAGAGTTTTGGGGGGGATCAGATAGGGAGAGTTCAAAAGGGAGACTGCTCTGAGGAAAAAGCTGTTTCTGAGTCTGTTGGTTTTTGTCCATTTTTTTGTCCATCTGCTATTTATTTCTATAGGAGTTAAAACTGTGAGACATGCTGTAATAGACAGTCACGACTACCAAATGGGACAATAGTAAATACAGTATCAAAGTAAAACGTGAAGTTTCTCGCAGCAGTATGTGAATGTTGAACCTCCGTTTGCCTTCAAAAGTAAACCATTAAAGAGTTTGTTCACTCAAAAATGAACATTCTGTTATTATTTTTTCACCGTCATGTTTTAATTCTGTTACCTTCGTTCATCTTCAGAGCACAAATAAAGATATTTTGGATGATATTCGTGAGCTCCCTCATCCTCCATACAAAGCAACAGAGATATTCAAAGTCCAGAAAAGAAACCAAAATCATTCTCAAACCATTTTCTTCATGGGTTTTTTTTTGTGCACAAAAGTCTGTAAAGATGACTGTTCACATATGTAACAAAGGTCTTGGGGGATTGGAACAATAAATAATGGAGTAATTAATAACAGAATTTTTATTTCCGTGTGATCTTACTCATTAATCCATCAGCTTGCAGTAAGTATCATTGCCTTGTTGCAAACTAACTGCAAGAGGGGCGTGCTAAAGGATATCAAACTGATGTCAATAGAGAAGGACCGCCATTCAAAATGCAGAAGCAAGTGATCAGACTTTGATTAAAGATTACCAAAACATTTTTTTTTTTGCACTGGAATAACTTTCACTGATTAATAGGTCACCTAAAGAATAACAATGTATGCCATCAAAATAAACATTGCACATTTTGATTCCACATGGACTTTAAATCATGTTTCTTTGAACTAAAATGAGTGCACCTGCATTTTTAGATCTTCCAGATGAGATTCCCAGCCTGACCCCTGCACCTTCGAAGAAGTCACGGTTTAAACAGGAGCGGGTGCGTTTTGAGGATGAGGATCCCGAAGAGCGTTTGGACAGACATGACACTCATGTCAGTGCTGTTCTTTCCAGGATCGTTGTAAGTCATGTTTATTACACTATTTTTATTGTTTGACTGAACAACAGCATAACGGCATGTTTATTGTTTATTTTCTGATAGGAAAGAGACACAAGTGCAGTACCAGTGTCGCTCCCTTGTATCACAGGCATTGCTTTCCCTAAAGTCTTACATCGATCTGCAATAGAAAATGAAGTGAGGAAACATTTTAAATGCACAACTTTCTTCTTTCCAGCTTGTTCTATAGACTGATGTTTTTGTTTGTCACTGCACCTACAGAGCCAGGAAAGAGTTCCCAAACCAACAAAAAGTATTTTTGCACGTCAGATTGCTGCACAGAGGGCTAAGGAAGATGTAAAGTCTTCATCTAAACATGTGGACTTCTCCTCATCGGAGAGCATGCAGACAGACCAAGCAGAATCAAAATATGTGGGTGAGTGTTATCACATTCCAGAAAGAGTTTCAGTACAAAATTATAATGCATACATAATATGTGTGTGTATATATATATTTGTTTGTGGTTCTTTTACAGACAGTGTTGGTGGTCCCTTACTGCTTTCAGGTAAAGGGCTTGGGATTGCAAATAGCACTGTGGAGATGATGAAGATTCATGAGGAAAATCAGATGAAGTTGCAGGCGATGTCCCAGAGTCAGATACTGGAGGAACAGAAGAAGGTGCTGGCACAGCTTGGTGAGCTCGATACCTTCCACTCACACTTTTGGTGCCAAACATGAAACTGCTTAAAATTGATATCTACATCACATTAAGATGAAAAATGTTTGTTTTTGTGCAGATTGTAATGGTATATTTGGCAGGATCAACGTGCATATTTTAATTGGTCTGTAACAAGTGTTTTGATTTATAGTTAGATTTCTTTTACTTGCAGATCTTTAAAGGAACTCCCAAGTTTTTAAACTGTTGTATTTAAACTAGCATTTAAAAGCTTGGGTAGTAAGATTTGTTTTTTTTTTTAAATGGGAAAAATTAAAACATTATACATCAAGGTTGTGTTAAATTGTCCTTAAAACATCTTTGCAGAGTTGTAATTTTATTTTTAAATAAACGCTGTTTTTCTGTTCATCTGGGAATTCTAGATGGTAAATCTGTTTTCACGGTGATAGAAAACAAATATTTCTTTCTTTTTTTATTAATGTATTTATTACATTTTCAGACAATACAGATACAACAACAAACACGTGAACAGAACAGGGAGAAAAAATGTAATAATAATAGTTAAATTAAACAAAATTTAAAAAAAGATGTTGCATATTCATACACAACAAGCCTTCACAAGATCTGACTTCTTTAAATCAACCCTCTAATGAGTATGGAGGTTATGTTTAAACCCATATTCAACAAAAATCTATCCCACCTCTCCTTTGCTGTGTAAAACACAAATGAGGTAGTCCAGTGGTACATATTCAGGTATTACTCTGTGCCATAAAGACTTTGTAGGAGTTTTGTCCATTATCCAGTTCAGGAGAATACATTTTCTTGCACAAAATGTCAGGAACTTGCGAAGTGTTTTTTTATGTTTATATTAATCTCGTCGTATAGCCCTAGCAGCCTATGCTTTGGGTAACAACCAATATCAATTCCTAAAATATCATAATATATTGTTCAATCGTGGCCCAGAACTTTGGAACTTCCCTGCAAAGCCAGAAACAATAAACAAGGTCTCCTTCCCCTGTTTTATATT